CCTATATATATATATATATATATATATATATATATATATATATATATATCAACATACATATAACGTGAATAAAATACATGTGCATGGGAAACTTTATTTCTAATCGGGTTTTTGTGAGCAACACAAAATCTGAGTCAACCGTAAAGGACAATAAATATCCAAGCCATCTCGTGACGATATTTGAGCTCCCACTTGACTCGCCATCCGGTAAAGAAAATCTAAAACTCTATCTTCAAGTCTTGTTACATTTTAAAGCAACAAAATACAAGATCTAATCTAATACTTTTACAAATCCATGAAATAAATATTACAAACATTAATCACAAGGGGCAAAAACTTTGTCATGCACCCACAAACAACATATAAACAATTTATATATATATATATATATATATATATATAACAACTATAACCATAATGCAAGGAAAATGTGTAATAGAAAAAGCTAGGACAAAAGAAAATCTATAACTTTTTCAATAAAAGAAAAATATCCATTTTCTTTTGATCAAGAATATACCAAAAAATTCTTGATAAAAAAAACGTTTTCTAAGTCATGCATGATCGGCTCTGATATCACTGATGAGATTTGTAGGAAACTTTAAAACAATATTATCAAAGATAGCAACGGAAACATATAATATAAACTTACAAGGATTTTCACAAAAACTCCCAATAAGGATATCATGTGTTAAAGAACTCTGAAAAACGAAAAATACAACCATAGTGGTTTTAGAACTACAACCTTTGAAGCTTGAACGCCGATGTCAGTTAGAGAAGAAAAGCGGATTTTCCTCCAAAGTTGATCCACACCAAACAGCTTCTTTTTGAATGCTAGTTTGTTGCAACCCAAACTAGTGTGTTTTTATATCTACCTTAGAAATAAAAACCAGGTATGCATCTCCTCACTTTTTCTCTCACAAACACTTTTTCTAAAGTCTCTAACACTTTGTATTTTAGAGAGAAAACTTAGAATGAGTTGGGATGGTATAAGAATATGTATTCCCCTCTTTTTATTTACCACCACACATACATATATATGATAGATTCAAAAGGAAGAAAAGAAGAAAGAGTGGGAGGCCATGTCTCCCATCGTACTTCTTACATCCCATACCTTGTCCTCTTTTGTTTAATATTTTAAATGTCTTTGTAGTGTACTTGGAAGCAACCAATACACTTAAAAATCAACTAATAAACAACCTAAAACCAACCACAGTTTTATTAGTTAGTTATTAGTTATTTTATATAAATTTTATACCAAAATATAAAACTTATATAATTACTGTCACACATAACAAATTAAGTGTATATTTAAAACAACGGAAATAATAATATGTATCAAATATATATTAGACTTAAACACTTGTCACAATATATATAACATATATTTTATTATTATCAGAAATTATTATTTTGATTAAATAATAATTTGCATGAAAATTGTTTGGTTTGAAAATAATCGAATCATATACGATCGTACGATTGTGGTTAATTTGCTTGTATGTGTGTGACTCTTTCGGATCGTATATCATTAGCCATATTGTCAAGTTTATTGTCATGGGCATATAGACCCAACACCTTTTTTATAGATAAATTGGATAAAGAGTAAGAGTAGGTGGGGTTGTTGGTGGGTTCATAAAGGACTAAATACACGAAAAAGGTAGGTCCACAATGTCGGAGCTGACATATTGAGGACCTAGCTCTGACACATTACCGACCTTCCTCTGACTTCGAACAAACTCGGGACCGATTCAGGTGCGGACATGTGTACATCTGCAATATTGCGGACCTATCCCTTTGCGGATCTGGTTCGAATTCGATTTTTTTGTCTTTTAGCCAAATTTGCAATATTCCGGACCTGGATATTGCAGATCTGGGGCAGATTTGAATTTGTTTTTGTCTTTTAACCGGAACTATATATTGCGAATCCAATAGCATTTGGGTCAATACGGGAAGAAATGGTGTTAAAAGGCCAATTTGGATGAAGGATTTAATCATTTGAGTCAATTTCTCTTATTATTGAATTTATTAGTGTTTAATCCTGTAAAATATACCATTATTAACAAAATATATACGGGTTATTTCACAATTAATAAATTATATACCCATATCTATATTGAATATCAAATCTAATTTCGAATATAAAAATCAACGAATGATGTAAAAGTTATCATAGCAATACGTTGTTGGATCAGGGTAATAGTTTTTTATCTGGCTAAATAATGGTGGATTAGATCATCTCAAGAAACCCTTTGGCCAACGGTATTAACAGTAACGAATCCAAGAATTTTTCGACACTGATATGACAAATTAATAATCGTAATAAATTAAAATTAATTATAACACACCAACTCAATTTTTGGCTAAATTTAGGGTCATTTAGACATAAATTAAATATTTAAGTTATTAAGAATCTATACACTTAGTTTTTTTCAAAAAATATCTTTTAAAAACTTTAAAACTACTCGATTATTGGTGTATTTCCAGTTTTTCACTTGAAGATTCTACATGATCAGATCCAGATACAAGATATTAACCTCAAATTTAACAAATAAAACCTAGAGTTTAAAGAGTTAACACCGAATATAAACAAACTAACTTTTATTGGCACATTTCAAGAAGGACCAATGACAAATATCGAGTCAAAATTGTACCTAATAGAGATTAATTATTGCATTTATCATGTATACATGCAATTAACGATAAAGATATAATTAATTTTAAAAGTATTTAATATTAGGCTCGTTTCGAAGATATCCACGAGACCGTTCTAACAGTACAATTTTTAAAAGAAAATACGTATTTTTTATCTAATAATTAATTAATATAAGAGTGTAAAAACTGAAAAAGGAAGGTACTTAATTAAAAGCACTAAATTCTTTGAAGGTTTAAAAGCATAAATGATATCTAACCACCACATGGTTATTTCTTAATTTATCATTTAAACTTCTTAAAGATTTTAATGTTTATGGTTTCACCCCAAAAACTTATGATTTTACACTTATATACCTTATAAAAATTGCACTTAGGCCCCACATTTTAATGGAATCACAACATTCATACCCCAAGGGTAGGTCTGCCTCTGAGTATTGATATGAATATGCCATTTTGCTCGAGTAGGGCTATCAGCCTTTTCTGAGTCATGTAAACATTAAAAGTTGTTTCTTTTACATAATAAGCGGTTACTGGACTTTTAGTATATCTCAAGAAATCAAATTAAAACTTCACCAACTGATTCATTCATAATATTTTTTTTACATTTTGAAGGTAATAGTATTTTTCCTACTTTTCGACAGTTAAAAATAGAAAATAAGAGCAACAGTGATCTACCATCATTTGATCACTTAGACCATGTGTTCACCATGGATGTTGAGCATCGGTTGTGATATGGCAACAACACTATCAACCGGTTGTTCAAGCAAACAATTACGACAATTGGGGCATGAACAATGTGACTCAAACCACTTGTCTATGCAACCGACATGAAATTCATGGCTACAGTGTGGCAACACCCGAACATTCTCCCCATCTTCAAAAGTTTCAAGACATATGGTGCATTCTGTAACTGAAATCTTCACTTCTGATCCAAGCACTCGTGTGGAAATCTGAACAACAACGGATTTTTCAAGACCAACAGGGTCTTCTAATGTTTGTGTTGTCACCTCTGATGTACGTCTGCGCTGGATGGCATAACGCATCACTTGAAAAACTCCAAAAGATGCTATTAATCCACACAACAAGACGATCCACATAATATTCACTATGAGATTCATCTCCTTTGTGTTTGAAATGTTTGTATCATTGTGGTTCGGGGAAGAAATAATCGGGCCCCCAAGAACACTCTGATGGTGTAAAGTGGTCATGAGTTCTATGTTTTTCAAGAATCTAAACAAAAGGGAGAGAGTTTATTAGTCGATTATTTTGCTTGTAAGGAGGTTCCAACTATATAGTATCGGAGATGTGAAAGGATGCATAAAATTGTTAATAATTCAAATGCTTTTTTATTGGTCACGAATCTTGGTAACAAATACGATGAGGATTTCCCTTTTCCAACTAGATTGCAAGTGTTACGTTTGATCTCATAAAATCTATGAATAGCCTTTTAAGGTTAAATGTATTATTTTCTAATACAAGATTGATAAGGATTCCATTTTAATTGATACTAGTTGTGTATCCGTGCAATTTGACAGGAGCCGTGAATTTTAACGATTTTGAAGTTTCACTGGTTTTATTAGAGAAGATTTAACGATTATATAAGTTACACTTGGTCTTTACTTATTAATACAATTTGAATAAATAAGAGTTATGGTTCCAATTACAGTCTATCGAAGAAAAAATTGTATGACAGTTTAAAATCCAATATATCTAAAATCCAACATATTTAAACGACTTCACAAATGTGTTCGATTTACACCAAGAACAAAGAATCAAGAGATCAAGAGCGAGACCGAGAGTTCTAGAACAATTGAATGGGAGATGAATGAATTTTTTTTAATAACTAATGGTAAATATAAGTTTAAATCTCACACTGAGGAATGAGGAGAAGACATAGAGGTATATGAGAGGGTGAAGACATAAGTGAAAAATGTCAAAAGTATCTTGGGAACATGAAAAGCAAAAGTAATAATGTGCGTTGGTAACTTGTAATATATGTTATTTTAATTATAGATTAAAAGGTTTTAAGATTGAATGTATAAAGTAGTAATACTTAATGCATTATGAGTTGTTTTTAAGACTTTGTGCATAAATATATAGTACTGTGTGCATTAAAAATTGTTTTTAAGACTTTTGATAAATCTGGTTTATAAGGTAGTATAGATAATCTTATTTTAAAGAATCAAATATTTATGTAACACTTCTCATATTATAGCATAGGGAAGATTTATTAGATTATAACGTATTTTTTTCACGAACATAATTTTAAAAGCTTTATTTTGGATTCAATGACCAAATAAATTCATTGTTTATGAAGTTACAATACATTTTCTACGTTATAGTGTTATAAATACGTTTATATTTTGTTGATAAAATTACAGTATGTTTTTATTTAACTGCATTAAAGAACGTAGTACATTTTCTTAATTGCATAAAAGCATAATTCTTTTCCACAAATAAAAAAATTTAAAATAGGTTTCCTAAAATATGAATCACAACAAAGTATGTTATATTTTTCAGTAATTCGTCGCTAAAAAATAAATATATAATCTGATATGCACTTAATATACAAAGTTCGACAGTTAGTGTTTGTTTACTATATGTTTATCGACAAGAGTGATCACCCTCTCTCACCTTATCGATTGACATTCTCGACCATCAAAATGGATTACGGTAAGCATCTTTCACTCGGTAAGCGCTTACAGGTGAGAGTTTTCTCATCACTTATCAGGTAAGATTGTTCGTCTTTATTATGCTCTTACCGGATATGATTTTTCTATCTTTACTATGCTCACCGATAAGGTAAGTGACATCTGGTAAGCGCTCACCAGATAAGAGTTTGGTGAACGACCCCTTGATCAAATATATGAAGTGCAATCATAACAAAGAAAATATATAGAGACCTTATAAACCAAAATCAATAGGAATCTATCATATTTATAATGTTGTTCTAAAAGGCTCGTTGCAATAGCTTTCATGACGTATTGTGACTCAAGGCTTAGGTCTTACGCCACGTTAAACTTGTAGCATGCCATGGCCTAATGCGTGGATTTTGTAACAAGATATTTGATTTATCATATCTTTTAAATGTTTTATTTGTTACTTTTTAATGTATAACTTAATTTAAGATGTTTATTACCATCGACTCATTGGATAGTAATAGAAAACATATGTTTACATATATGTATGTATATAATATTATATAAGATATAAAGATTTGTTGACATAATTAAGTCATGTCTTGGAAAACGTCGTGGTCTCGATGTGACTCCTGAGGTTTGAGAATTGGTCTCACTGTCACGTCATGCTTTCACGTCATTTAAAACCTTGATTTATAATTTTATTTGTTTGATGGGTTAATAAAAAGACTTGACGAAAATCAATCAACTCATCCTTTTTAATATTAACATATTGAAATGTTTTAGGATGACATTAACAAGTACTTCCAGCTGGGTTGCAAGTAGTTAATTGGATTGTGTACAACTTGAAGCCCTTTAAAACATCATTAAAGAATTAAAAAGTAACATCTTTATATTAGTGTTATATAAAAAATAATATCTTTTAGTTATCCCTTGGTTTCCTCTTTAATAAAGTGAACTTAATTGATTGTCCAATAAAGAATGTTATGTAGGTCATTTTTCAAACCTCTAAGATTTGGTATGGATTGTGGAACAAGTTGTGCTATTACCCAACAAGAGAATGTGATAGATATGTCGACCTAGTGTCACAAAATTCGGGGAATTTGAGTTGCGACATGAGTCAAGAAGCATGTTGTGTGATATTAATTGAAGGGTAAAAATGGATATTCAGGTACGTAGCACAAGATGAGAGCCGATAGGCACAAATACAAAGTACAAACACAGTTTTAGTCAAGTTGGTGTAAAAAGAAGATCTTTCCTACGTGAATTATAATCGGTCCCTAACCGATTTCTTGAAAAAAAAGATAAACCTTAATAGGATGGACCTAATCTTACACCTATTATGAGTCATAATTGGTCCTTCCTGAATTAGTCTAAAGGACTCTTCTGCAATAGCTTAATGAGTTGTTAAGCCTGTATGGCTTATTCTGTCAGCCATACATTGTTGTTCGTTTCTAGCTTATTTGGTCAACTGGTGGCTCAATCTGTCAGCCAGGAAAGTAGAGTCCTATGGACTCAGCCATTTGGTCATCCTCTTATTCCAAGTTTGCCCCTTTACATTTGTAGAATCCTAAAAAATTCCAGCTTCTCTCGATCTCATTTCTCTCCATCTTGTGTTTGCTCAACTAGTTCAAGCCTCTATCTCCATCGATCTGCGCTCTCTATTCTCCATCAATCCAAGTGTGCTTCTTCCTCACTATCCCCGGTTGTTGCTTCTTCCTCACCATCGCCGACCGTTGCTTCTTCCTCCATTGATCTCATTTCTCCTGCTTCTTCGGTCTCTGGCGTTTGCTTCTTCCTCAACGTCGCCAGCCATCTCTGCTTCACCATTGTCGGTAGTTGCTTCTCTGGCAGTTACCTTCTGCCTCACCATTGTCGGTCGTTCTTGCCCTCTGCCTCACCATCGATGGTATGGATCTTGTTACTGATTTATTATTATTTGTACTGTTTTTTCTATCTCAGTCTGGATTTGTTACTGAGTTGTAATTATAGATTTGGGTATGTTTTAAGTTTGGGGTTTTATGTGATGATTCGTTTACAATTTTATGATTTGATCTATATATTGTTGTTTTGAGAAATTTGATCTATAATAAGGCTTACAAAAAAAATCTAGTTTATTTGTCTAATTGTGATGTTAGTTGTATGATGTTTGAATTTATGTTTACTTTTATATTATAATCTAGGACGTTGTTTGTAATTGAATTGATTATGTTTAAGACATTTAAACTTATATATATATATATATATATATATATATATTTTAATTTAATTTACTTTTAGTTAGTGAAAATTAACATATTGTAATTTTTTTTAGATCGGTTCATATTTCGGGTTCGGGTATAACCAACGGTGAACGGGGAAACCAAAGGAAATTTTTTTTTTTTTACTCTTAACAGGTTTCCCAACGGGAATCGAGGAAACCACGAGGACCCGATTGGGATCCTTGATAAGATCCCTGTTGGGGATCGAGGCGGTTATGAAGACAGTTTTAGTTATCAGTTTTGGAAACGGGGATACCAATAACCAGCCCGAACCCGGGCCGTTGCCCTTCCTAGATCCAAACTCCAAAATAAAAGCCCAAAAAATAGTTGATTTAACACAAAACAATCCATCTATGAATAAGATCCGATTTAGGGGGTGTTTGGGATTGCTTATTTAGGATGCTTATCAACTTATTTCAGTCTCATACCGTCGATAAGTTATTTCTAGTGTTTGGATGAGAAAAAAGAAAATTGCTTATACCGGTGCCAAACCGGTAATAAGCAGTTTTTGATAAGTTAAACCTTCCTAACTTATCAAAATCGACTTTTGACAGATTACCCTTTTAACCCTGTTAATACCCTTTCTTTATACCGTAACAAAGATGAGAACCACAGCAGCCTGCTACCCTTTCTCTATACCCTAACAGAAACGAGAACTACAGCAGCCTATTACCCTTTCTCTATACCCTAACAGAGACGAGAACCATAGCAGATACGAGAACCACTTCTGACCGCCTGTGAAATCTTAATCTTATCCGTCTCATCATCACCGACAATCTCGATCCGTCTTATCGTCGCTGGCAATCTCGATCCTGCTGGTTTCGTTCTCATGCATAGACGAGAACCACTTCCAACCGCCTGTGAAATCTCATCCGTCTCATTATTGCCGACAATCTCGATCCGTCTCATTGTCGCCGGCAATCTCGATCCTGCTGGTTTCGTTCTCCTGCATAACATATTTTGAGGTTAGTGATCGATCTTCCCCGTTCCGTATTTCGTTCTCTACGAATTTGTTATATTCTTACTGTGAGGTGGATTTTTGTGTTCTTTTCTGTGGATTTCTCTCTACTTTATGTGTATTTCTTTCTACTTCAATTTCTGTGGACAGGGTTTCTGAAACACAAACGATATTTTTTTTTCTGA